GAAATGTTTTGTTTTTTTTTAAAAAAAAAAAAAAAAAAAAAGGAAGCTCTGGAAATGTGTGCCAGGGCCAACCTAGTTGTTGGATTCAGACATAGGCTTTTACACTAACAACTTGATTATTAAGCAGTTAATGATTTACTCTCAAAAGATTTGCATATTTTAAAATGCAGCCTAATGTTCTGCAGAGTGGAAGGGCTATCTGACTTTATCTGGGTCTGCATTAATTTGGCCTTAATGTTTAGCTGAAACCAATCCTGAGAGAATGAAAGTTTTGTTTGAGCAAGAAAGGAATAAAGGGGTTGGGCAGTTTGAGAGTCTGGGGGTACTTGAAGGGGTAACTCTTGGAAGTCCAACTTTACTTTTCAACTCCAGAGATTCCTGACCTCTGATAAGCATAGTCTCTGCTGATCTGGCCTTGCCACCTTTCAACAAGCAACTCAAACTCTACTTCCTCTCCAGAGCTGTTCTTGACATTCTCCAATTCTGCCTCAGTCTCACACCCCTCCCCCATCCCAAACAAAAACAACAAAACACTCAAAAGCAACGAATTGCCCATCTTTCCAGTATTAACCATTCTCTAAATCAGGGTTTCTTATCTGCGGTACTAACATTTTAGACCATATAAGCCTTTGTTGTGCAGTCTGGGACATGGAGCACCATTCCTGACTTCTTCCTACATACTAGTAACACTACACACGTAGTTATGACAATTAAAAATGCCTCCAGGCATTTCCAGATGTTCTCTTGGAAGAGACCAGTCATCCCTCATTGAGAACCACTGCTGCTTTAACACCAGACACTACATTGTCCTTATTTGCTTATGTTGATTTTTGTCAACTTTCCTAAGCTTGAGGGCAAGTGCAGTCATTATTTAGTATCTGAAGGCCTGCTTGGCCGACTAGATGCTAGGTTAGGTCTGGGAATACTAGAATAAAAGCAACTGATATTGGGTCTCTGCACACCTGGATCTTATAATCTAAAGAGAGTAACCAATGTATGTGTGTATGACTATAATATTGCGGTATTACAGCTGTGTTAAGTTCTGAGAGGAGAAATACAAATTTACCTGAGTACCTAAAAAGGGATCTTGAGCTAGTCTAGAAACTAAGGAAAGTTGCTTTGGGGAAGTACCATTTGAGATGGACTCTCAAGGATAAATCTGGAGATACTAAGTACAGTTTAGGGGGACAGTATTCTAGACAGAAGGAACAACTGAACCCTGAAGCAGAAAAGAATTGGTTTTTTGTTTTTTGGAGAGCCCAGAAGCCAGTGTGAGTAGAGCACAGAAAATGGTCGGGGCAGGATAATACAGAATAAGATGTGAAAGTAGGCACAGGCTACCTGCTCTTTGTTGATTCCCAGTCCAGCATGCTCATTGAACCCATGCAAGAAACTTAAAACAGTACAAGTGTCTGGGTCCTTCTCCAGGCCCATTAAATCAGAATGCTCCTGTGGGTTCTACTCCATGCTTCAGCCACTGTTTTTCCCATGCCTTCTAAACAGATAACCACTGGTAATAGTATTGTTTACTAATTACAGGATTTTTCTTGGTAGGCCTCCTACTTACACAAAGGCAACACACTGCCTTGTTCTCTTAACAAGTGTCTTGGAAATCTTCCCACTGTATATTTCCCTTACATTTGAATGATTATATAGCATTTTGTTGTGTGATTATAATACAGCTTATTTAACCACTCCCTTACTGGTGGACATTTAGATGCTTCTGGTTTATTATAAAGAGTACTATGACTATGCCAGTTCACATGTGTATGAATATCTTTGTGGGATAAATTAATGGAAGTAGGATTGCTGGACCAAATAGCTTGTAAAAGATTGTTGAGTAATTTGGGCAAGGTAACTAAAACTGAAAAAGTAGCAGCTAGAACTGAGATGATAGTGGTAGAACTGGAAAGAAGTACATGTGTGTATACATGAGCTGTATTTATGATGCATAGTTGATAGGATTTGTAACATGATAATGTCACAAATGTTATGGATAGAGAATAACTTCCTAGAATGAATCCTAGGGCTCTAGCTTGCCCAACAGGTGAATAATGGTGTTACCAAAATAGAAAACATCATAAGGATATCTTTGAGGTGAATTTAAATCATAGTTCACAGGACTAGAGAGATGTCTCGGTGATTCAGAGTACTACCTGTTCTTGTAGAGGACCCAGTTTGGTTCCCAGCGCCCACATGGCAGCTCACAACCAGTGAGTATCCCCAGTTCCAGGGGATACAACACCCTCTTCTAAGAGCCTTAGTGGACATTGCATGCATGTGGTGCACTTACATGCAGGCAAAATACTCATACACATAAAATTAAACCAAAAATTTTCTGGCTGGGTATGGTGGTGCTTGGCTTTAAACCCCAGCACTTGGTAGGCAAAGGCAGGCAAATCCCTGAGTTCATGGCTAACTAGGTCTACATAGGAAGTTCCAGGCCAGTCAGAACTACATAGTGAGACCCTGTCTCAAAAATATTTTTATTTTATAAAAAAATATAAATCGTAGTTCAAATTGGGATGACTGAGGCTTTCAGGTAAAGGTGTCATGAAGCATCTAACAGTTCAAATCCAAAGCCCTCAGAAAGGGATGCAACTAGAGCCACAAATTTTTAGGTGTAAATTGAAGGGTATGGCCCAGTACAGAATTTAGCTCACAGATGTTTTTTAGTTTGCTCATGAGGTAGTTTTGTAGCTAATTCTGAATTAGTTATTCATATTTTTTAAGTCTTGAGGAGTGAGGGGGGACAGAGAATATGAATGGCATTACGAAGCTGCCTTTCCCATATGACAACAGTGATCAGAGCTCAGTCGCAACTGATCTCAGCCAGCCAGTCCCTAAAATTTATGTCTGACCTGCTTTGCCTCCAGTTCTATATGGGTGTGTGTGTGTGTGTGTGTGTGTGTGTGTGTGTGTGTGTGTGTATGTGTATGTGTGTAAAATAAGCATGTGATCAAAGTACAACTTTCAGGAGTTGGTTCTCTCCTTGTTGATACAGGGTCTTTGTTTTTGTTTCTCCCATGCTTCGTACTCTAGGCTTGCTGGCCCAAGAGCTTCCAGGAAATGCTCTATCTCCCATGTGGCTATAGGAGTGCTGGGATTACAGATGTAGGCTCCTGAATCAGGTTCTGAAAATCAAACTCAACTTGTCAGGCTTGCACTACAAGTGCTTTTTACCGGCTGAACCATCTTGTCTTTTTGGTTGTGAGCCTGTGCCAGCTCTCCAGCCCAACCAGCTGAACCATCTTGCTGGCACACTTGAACGTGTAATCCCTGGTCAAGGGAGAGTGATTTTCATCTTGGTTGTACATTGAAAACACTGAATGTTTAAAAAAAAATACTAATGCTGGGGCTCGGGGAGTAGCCCAGCTGATAAGAACGCTTGCTGCACAAGCATGAGGACCTGAAATTGGAATCCCAGAATCCCTGTAAAAACATCTGGCCATGGTGGTATAGTTACAATTAAACCCAGCACTGTGGGTGGCAGAGTCAGGAGGCTCTCTAGAGCTTGCCGGCCACCAGCCTAGCTCCAGGTTCAGTGAGAGACCCTGTCTCAAAAGAAATAAGGCTGAGAGTGATTGAGCAGGATGACCCAACTCCTCCTCTGGTTTCTGCCTGTGAGCACAGGTGCATATACCCACACACATATGTGCA